AACCTCTTATTGTGTCAAGCTGATCCCTCAAGATTATTTATATTAGAGATCTTTATATTAAAGATACTCGTACGAATATAATACTGTATACTTGTTAATCCAAGCATGCAAGATACAGTTAGTTATAAGGTGTAAAATCTTTTCTCGCAACAGCAGAACCGTTAGGATCATAAAACTATAGAGGAGTATGTGTAGTAATGCGCAGATGTCTTAAACATCTGAATATTAATAAATTTAAAATTATATTTATAGTAAAAATATGATTATTTGTCCTTAAGTCGTTTAGGGTGTCTATAGGCATGATTTTAAGTGCTCTGGACACGTAATTCAAATATCACTATATCAACATTTTTTTCTGTAGCATTGATGATATTTTTATTCAAAAGTAATATTTTAGCGAATTTCCCATATAGGGAATAAGCTATTACCGTAGTACTCATGGTAAGACCTGGACGCGGGACCGATTTTTTTTTTCGTTTTGAGGTCCCTAGAGGCCAAAAACACCATCCGTTCAAATTCATATATATATATATGTGTGTGTCCGTCAGCACGATAACTCGAGCAAAAATGATCCGATTTTGATGAAATTTGGTACAAACGTGTAAACCTACGTTTATTCGAACGAGTTCGCGATCCAGCATGATCGGACCATGGGAACGGGGGTTTAGGGGGGTTTTATGGGGTAAAAATAGGGTTTTCCCAATTTTGACCCAAAAAACATAAAATTTAGCAATTTCTTTCCAAACCATTTTGTAGAGCTTAAAAAAACAAATAATTTAGTATATTGAAGCGTTATTATGCGCCTAATGGCTACGGAGAAAATTCAAAAAAATTGTAAATTAAAAATTCCCATGTTATTCTTATGGAGAATAAGTAAACTATTGTAGTTTTCTTGTTTATGAATATATTTTGATCAAATTTGGAAAATGTTTTTATTTCTTACTAATTATTAACATAAAAAAAAAACTGTTTAACCCTCCCTGATGCAGCAAACCTAAGTACTTGTTAAACTAATTCTATTTAAATCGGGAATGTAAATGTTATATTTTTAAGTAGACATTTCAGTGTAAATCCAATCAGTCAAATGGAAATTCGCTTAGTCTGCAGGTTTGCTGCGGCGGGGGTATTTATATTCTAAACTCATAAAATAGTCTCCGAGTTAATCTGTTCCAAATTATTTTGCATCTGCTGTGCCGGTGACCAAATAGCACGGCACACATTCCATAAACAAATATATTCGGAAGATTTACGCGGTAAAAATTCCCGCCATCGCACATAATTGGCTAACACGGTGGAGGCCGCGTTATATGATTGTCGGGGCCTTAACATTGGCACTAGTTTAACACAAGTGTGTCACGGCCTTCGCAACGATGTCGACCTTACGACGACACCATCAACCAGCCCAACCCGTCCACGCTCGGCGGGCCTTCAGACATCTGCTCGGAAATGTGGCCTTTTGTTTTGGGTTTCATATTAGGGTTATGGCGAACCTGTTGGTTTTTGGGTTGGATGGTTTTTGTGGTTAGATTTCAAAAACGGTTTTGGTATTTGGTTTGGGTACTGGAAATATTGCGGGAAAAGGGGATGAGGTGTTTTGGATAGCTAGGAATTTGGGTTATGGTAAACCAGATTCGGTAAGTTGGTCAACTTTGCTATGGGAAACAATGTTGTCATGAATAATTGGAAATTCAAGAGTGGAAAGGTCATATAGTTTTGTGGATTTCGTCTTTGAATTATAGTCTATGAATTCATTCGGTTGGTTTGTGACACTTGCTCATTGTCGTGTTGTAAATTTACAGTTAGACCTAAAAAATAAAGATACTCTGTTTACATCCATAACTGTAGGAAGTTGGATGAGTAACGCCTTAAGACAAGAGATTTAAATCTTATAAATTGGTTGTACAAGCTTAACCAAAATAAGTACTATTTGTGACGTGAAATTTTGCGGTGTTTCACGGATCCTCCCGTTGACCTTTGCCAACACAGGATGGCAGGATCTTCAGGACCCTTCACTACTCTCCTGACACGGTTATTGTGGAACAATGGAGAGTATTGATTTCTTTAGTCGATCATGAAGCAGTTCATAAAACAGAGAAAGTATACTAAGTGATAGTTACCCTTCTCGTGAGTGACCTCATCACAAGAAGTGACCAGAATAACGCACTGATATTAGATATCACTCAAGGGGTCTCATCACAATAAGTTACCAGAATATCACGCTGATATTAGATATCACTCAAGGGATATCATCACAATAAGTGACCAGAATATCAAACTGATATTAGATATCACTCAAGGGGTCTCATCACAATAAGTGACCAGAATAACGCACTGATATTAGATATCACCATTATATCACTCAAGAGATCTCATCACAATAAGTGACCAGAATATGAAACTGATATTAGATATCACTCAAGGGGTCTCATCACAATAAGTGACCAGAATAACGCACTGATGTTAGATATCACCATTATATCACTCAAGAGATCTCATCACAATAACTGATCAGAATATCGCACTGATATTAGATATCACTCAAGTGATCTCATTACAACAAGTAGAGATGTATATTTTGATGTTGTTTATTCGTTAATCGTTACAATTGATTTTATACAGAAATAAACCAGTCTATGTTTGTAAAAATTAATTTACAAAGGCTTTTTTTGTAAAATGTTTGCAACTCATTATTTAGATAAGAAAAACTTCTCGTCTATTTAAATTACTGAACTATTTTATTGCTTTGTTAAAAATCATTGTTTTGTAAACTCTTACCACTAGTTTTGACTCTTGCCACCAGTTTTGACTCTTGCAGACCATGTTGCTTGGTGCTTTAACATTTTAAGACATTAAAAATATTTAACTAAGACCTACACTATGATTTGTGTCCTGAGGCATAATCTTATTGGCTACTTTCTAACGTCAAATATAGATTCTTTTTATATAAATCCTTATGATTTTTGGTTTCTAATATTCTTTGGATTTATGGAATCGCACCACCAAAGCTAGGTTGATCCGGGCGGCTTTACAAATCGGCCATGATAGAAATTAGGTCTAACGAAAACAAAATATATAGCCTACTTTCTCAGGTTTCAACGTTACAACATATTCCCCAATACTCAGTAGCCGGAGTGACTAAGCATACAATGTGTCTGACGCCATGTTACGTCAGCGTGTTCTGCTGACCCTCATATCATGCTGAGTCGGGCCACATACTGGGGCAGCACGTCAGCATCTACAACGATGAGATAAAGTATCCTACCTTCCACCATGACATCCTAGGACGTTATGCTCTAGGCCTTATGCTAACAGTGTAGGCCTAGAGGGTGGCGACATTATCACAGCTAAAACCCATTTGTGATTGGCGGGATTTGAACCTGAGACCTTGGGGACCGAAGCCTCGCGCACTAGTTCCTGAGATGAAAGCAGTTCTCTAGTAGCAGTTTTTTTTTCTAGTCAACCAACACTACTTCGGTCGACTTGAAACGTAATCCTCTAATTTGATAATTATATAATTTTTTTTATAGGTTAATTTTTGTGCGTGAAACGTATATTCTACTGTGTTACCGACCATTACCATTCGGATTAGAAACAATTTGTCGTCGATATTTAACATTCTGAGAACATTTCTTTTCTGTATCCCCGGGTATTCTGTATATATTTCTATTCAAATTGATCTATCCACCAGTTAATATAGCTAGGTGTTAATGCCATGGACCAATCATTACTGAACCATGTTCATAATTGAGTCAGGCAAAACATTGATAATAAAATGTTACACTGATATAGTAGCAAATTGACTTTATTAACGATATGAAGCTGAAATATACCAAAATATTGATCAGATCAGTAGACAACTTTACTGTGGAAGAAAAATTAGACTACATCTGTTGGTTGACCTCGACTCAATCTTACTCAAAGGGGGTTCTGAAAGGAGGAGTAATTTCACTGCAGTATGACGACAATATAATTCCACAGTTAAAAAATCTAAATATAAAAAACAACCGGTGTCTCAATGAGATTGGAAGATGGGAACTTTCTGACTTGGATAAGTAGGCCAGAGTGAGAGTGAATGTGTGTGTGGCGACCAGACAAACTATCTACTTATCAGTTCCAACCCTCCAGCCGAGACTCCATTCATGCTTATCAGCTGGTGGCTACTATCTTCTGTATCCAATAGTCAATGCTACTATACCGTCCACTCCATGGGAAAATTGTAAAGACTTCACGTCAATGGGAGATTAAGTTGGCGCAGACCATTAAAGTACTTCTCGTAACCAGTATCCTTGATTTCGTGAATGTTTTTGGTTCAATTTGTGACGCGTCTACTAATGCATGTCTAAAGTATGTTATAAGACAGCCCTTTATATGCCGAAATTGTAATAGTACTCTATTAATTAAATAATTTAATCTGTGGTTTATATTTTATTGAAGGGAGTTTTCTAACATGGATAACTTTTCGCGCGATAGACACGACTGAATAACTGTGCTGGTGAATTTTTATAATCGCCTCCTTCAATACTTAAACCCTGAAAATGTCTTTAAACCTAAAAAAAATTCAAAATCATATAAAGAAAACCTTTCAATTAAAACTTTCGCCCCTCAAACTAAAATACTGAAATTATTTCCATCTATTAATAGTCAAAGCCGTGCCTTATTCAACCAAACTTTCTCATAACCTAACACTTTCCCAACCACAAAATAAATTTTTGAAACTTCCACTAGTAAACTAACCACTTTTCAACCATCCATGCAAATCTTCCCGTAACTTAGACCTTTCTCGTATAAAATCGGGTCAAACTGGACCCTCGACACTTTCACAAGTGGAAGGACAGAATGGACGGTTTTTGATAAAACAATAACTGCTGGATATCAACTGTGTGCTGTGTGTATGTGTGTGTGTGTGTTACATAATGTGTTGTGTGTAACGTGTAGTAAGTACAGTGAAGTAGTGAAGTAGTGGTGGCTACGGTGGTTCCCCCACTGTCTGTTGTGAAAGTACCGCGCGCTTCATTCGTCGTGCGAACTTCGCGCCGTGCGCTCCTCCGTGATACTATCCCGTCCGTGATACTATCCCGTCCGTGATACTCGTGCCGTGATACTCGCGAGTGATACTTCGCGTCGCGAATGTGTGACTGTGCTTAGTGCTGTGTGACTCATTTGTTGGATCGTTTATATTTGGGATTACTCTTATATGCGAGAAATAAGGTAGGTGTAGCGTTATAAGATCAGCTGATAATTTTATGGTGTAAGCTTCTGTATCCAATAGTAAATGGTGTGAGTGCGGGACGCTTGATTTACTGTTGCCATCTATTAACTGTTAAAAAATTGTTAACTCACGTAACATTAACTGAAGCTAACTTATGTGTAATTGTGTGTAAGGGGGGGCATTGCTTTGTTTTCACGACAAAACATAACGATGTACCGGTACAGTATTTGTTAACTACTACACATAGGAGAGCTGAAATTTGCTTGTCTTCTGGTAAAATTTGCCCCGATTTAGATGGATTTAATTAATCAATAAAATACACTGTAGCGAGCGCTACGGGACATAAAACGCTACGGGACATAAAACATAACGAAACAAGCGAGAGATACAGTAGATTAGAAGTCCACTTGCAGCATCCAAATTATTTTGTTTGTTGCAACGTTGGAGGGTACAATTTGATAAATACTTAAAATTATCATGGTGTCACTTGCCAGACTACATATAGAACATAAACAATGACAGTTTGATTTTAGAACTTCAAAATAGGGGGTTCTTTTTCAAATTGGTCCTCTGAAGAGCACTGACATGCTAAAATAGGTTTTGTTAGAATAATTCTTGAAAAATCACTTCAAACCCAAAAACTGAGATTCAAAGTTGTCCCTGAAAGTAGCTTTCTCGTGCCTCATTGGACCCTGGTCATATGCTTATTATAAAGCCATATGAATTATATGTAAACAACACAAATACTAGTTTCCAATTAGAAAATGTATTTAGCATAAACAAACACAGTTTGACCTTCAGCAAGTGTATAACGAGATGGCACTTGTTCTCAACATACACGTTTATCAAAAGTGTAACTACGATTTTATAAAAAAGGGGTTGTTTTGAGGTTATCATTTTTTTGTAGTGTAAAAAGGAATTTGAAAATAAAACCAAATCTGGAAGCTTTGAGTTTAAAACGCAGTGTAGATTTCCTAAAACAAGATAGGGACACTAAAAACTAAATTGAACTTAAATTATTTGCCAAGCTCTGTTGCTTATTAAGTTAATTTTATATCGATTAATACAGTTGTAAGCATTGACAACGATATTGCTGGTAGTGACTACGTAGTGTTTTGTAACCACCTGATAGACCCGTGCTCCAAGTTTCAAAGTACACTTTTATCAGCTAATTATCAAGACTTATCCAATTAATTAACAGTTTTTCAACTATTTGGCGCAGTTGTTGTGCTTTGAGTTGCTTGAACCCTCGGTATTTGGGTTGTTATACGCCCCAGTGTTTAATTTTGCGATAGTTTTTCTCAGCCAGTTGTAATTGTCAATTAATTGCAGTAAACCTAGAGATTGAAATCCCAGCCCCTAGTTGATAATCGTTTCAGATTGTCAAATATATATTTTAACAAGGTCGTGGAACCTTAATGTAATCATAGGAGTTAAAGCTCCTCCCTTGACATATCAGAATTGTATTCTAAATAAGTAAACCTTTATACGGAACATTTACGTAGCTAAATAAATTGGTGGCTGGCGCGATTCGAACCCGCGTCTTCATGACAAAAGTCTCGTGTACAAACTACTAGCTCGCTCGCGGCCTTGATATGCAGTAAAATGAATCAACAAGTGATAAGGAAATCGAATCGGTTTCAAGGAGTGCATATTGTGTAAACATGTATTGTGGACGACAAGTAAAAATAAATAAACAAGTTCAGATAAGGATCTCAGAGTCCTTGAAATGTTCGTTGACAAAAATATGTCAACAGAACCTTCATGGTACCAATGAATGAGGGGTTCTAAACTAACATACTTCATATATTTAGATACATAGAGTAAAAAATAGGCATGGATATGTTGAACAGGGCATTTAAGTGTAATGACATAGCCTTTGTACTACAACAAATATTTTAGAGAAATTATGTGCCGGAAAATAATTTAGTTTTGCAAAGTTTAAAAAACTTCAAACATTCAAAAGTTTCTATATTTTACCAGTGAGTAAAATAATGTATCATGATATCTAACCGTAGCATTGAGCTACACATATTCTGTTCACAAAAGTCATCTCTCCTTAATCTGTAAAGTACCTGTTTTTTGGGATTCTTCTTTGAGTTTCTTTGCCTTTTAACTAAATTGTACTGTTTTCTTATTGAATATTTTTATTTTGTACATGTGTTATCCACACAGTGTTACTGATATTTTAAAGGTTTGTTAAAGAGGACGGTAAAAACATGATTACATTGCCTGAGATTTAAGTATAAACCCAAAATAAGATTTAACAAATAGTGAGGAGAAGCTTGTTGTTTACCCCATGAATCAATGGTTATAACATACTAAAATGCACTGGTCATACTTTTGCATATTAAGCTTTTCTAAAGTTAAAATATGTCCATGTGAACAAATCAACAAAATCGTTAACATAATTTTTGCATTTCTTGCAATTAAAATAGCCAATCTATGTTTCTAAAAACTGTCTATACAATAACTGAATTTTAACAACATTACAAAACTGACAATTAACATCTTGATTATAATGTTATATGTAGCAACAAATATTGCTTACTTCACCATCAGTAATGCAGCAGTAAAGTCTGTTAACTTGAGCGTTTCTATAATTAATTTGTATAAGTCAAATACCAATTAGTTAACTAAACATGGTTTTACATCGTGTATTTATTTTAAATCTGAGAGAGCGAATGTCAGAGATTCAGCGTATCCTTGACTCTAATTAAGTTTAATAAATTTGATCCCTTGTAATCTAAAAAAAATTATTACTTAAAAACTAATATTTATGAAGACTGTTGGGTCGTAGAGAATTAATATAGTTAACAGGATATTTCGTACCTAGTACCGAAAATGAGGTTTTGCTGCTCAAGATAACTTTTTAACGATTGAGAGCTACAAAACCCTTTCGGCCCGTGGCACGAACGCTATTTTCACCACACTATACAAAGTTGAGAAAATATATTATACAAAATGAAAATGCACACTAAACAGTCAACACAAGGCAACTTTAAGGTTATGTGTAAAAACGTTAGAGGAATCAGTAAAAATATTAAAGAAATGGTTGCTAAGCAGCGGTGACAATAAAACAAGTCTATTGCAATGCATATAGACACAGCATATTTTCGGCCCTAGGGATGTAAAAACCTGCTCGGTCCCAAATGACGATGGAAGTTATCATGGACCAGTTATCATGGACAGCAATAAGTAGCTTTCGGCCCCTAATTAACGTTTGTAAAACGACTAAAATATCATAGTGTAGTGAAAACTATTTAGAAAAATGCTGTAGCAAGAAGTTCACGCGACACACCTCAAAGTAACATAAATTTTCAACAATTTCTAAGTATGTTACCATGACGACCACTACTAAAGGGAAATTTATAAAACCTGCTGAAAATTATATCGCTTGATTGTTATCGTCTTGTCAGCCATTCTCCACTGTTTTGTCAATAGAATAATAAGGGTACAGCTTATTAATTATTCCAGAAGTTTAGGCTTCATAAACTTAATTTTGTTATGTTAGAAAACCCACCCAACAGTTGCAATAATTGTTTCTGTCACTTTTTACAGATGCCAAACTATTATTCGCTTGTTTGATTTCTAAATCAAAATAAAGGGTGCGCCAAAAAAACCTGACGGTTTCTGTTTTGTAATAAGTCAGCTGTTATACCAGCTAGAGGCCTCATTGTTGTAGTGAACGATTACTTATGTTATGCCATTTTAGGTTATGTTTGGTGAAACATCACTTCGTTGAAAGAATGGTAACTGTCTGGTGTGGCGTGGCACGGCTTGGAGTCATCGGACCATATGTTTTTGAGGACGAAAGGGAGAACACCCCCTGTCACTGTAAACTCGAAACGCTATGTGAACATACTGAGGGGGTTTTTGGTTCCACAACTGCGAATGTTAGGAGGGATAAACATGACCAACACATGGTTTCAACAGGACGGTGCAACTTATCATACAGCCAATTATTCAATTACTGTTTTGCGTGAACTTTTTCTCGGTAAAGTGATCTTACGGTTTGGTGATGTGCGTAGTCAGTTCGATCCCCAGACTTAATTTCGTGTTACTGTTGGCTATGGGTATACTTAAAAAGCAAAATGTTCGTTTCGAAATTTCGAACCATCCATGAACTCAAGCAGTGTATCCGGGAAGAGATTGCTTCTATTCATCAGGCTAAGGTTAATCAGGCAAATATGAAAAAAATGGGAAGCCTGCGATTAGGAGAAGGTCCTAAGTGATATAATCTATATATATAAAAGGCAAAGCCCTCACTGACTGACTGACTGACTGACTGACTGACTGACTCACTCACTCACTCATCACTAATTCTCCCACTTCCCATTTACCTAGGAGGCTGAAATTTGGTACACTGATTCTTTAGGCATTAAATAGGAAAACTAAGTTGTTTTTATTCTGATCGGACTCTCGGGCTCCGCCCCAGTTGCTCTGGGGTTTCCCATGTTAACCTTATGAGTTCTCATATTTAAATGGAATAAATGAATCTTAACAGCTGTTTCAATTAAACATGTTGGTTCTGTTCTATGATGTGCAATAGCATTAAAGTTACAAGGATTACCAACAGGGTGCAGCACTATTATTTCTTTTACATTTATGACAACAGCTAATTTGCAACCAATTCGCTGGTGAGTGAGCGTAGCGAACGAACTTCAACCTGGAGGCGAGTTAGCGTAGCGAACGAGCTAACCTGAAGGCAAGTGAGCGCAGCGAACGAGCTCCAACCTAAAAGTGAGTGAGCGTAGCGAACGAACTTCAACCAGGACGTGATTGAGCCATGCGAACGAGCTCACTTATGAAGTTAAACGGGGCAAAGCCCGAGGGTACAGCTAGTTGTTTATAAATGAAAATGGCATAGTAGTGTGTACAATATTATATTATTTAATACATAAAATTGTATTTTGTTCTTGAATCATTTAATATTAAAAACCGTCAGGTTATTTTGGCGCACCCTTTACATTACAAGGCATTTTTGGAAGGTTTTCTT